GTGATATTGAAAAATTGGAATGTTTGTGATTCTTTATCTTTGTGATATTTGAAAAATTGGAATCTTTGTGATTCTTTATCTTTGTGATATTTGAAAAATTAGAATCTTTGTGATTCGATTTTGCTTTGAAATTGTGAATCTTTGTGATTCTATTATCTGTGTGATTTTTTGAAAAATTGTGAATCTTTGTGATTCGATTTTGCTAAAGTTTATTGAATCTTTGTGATTCTCTTGTGTGTTGATCCTGCTGATATTTAATCTTGGTGATTTTGCTATCTTTGTGATACTTGAATATGGGATCTATGTCTATGTTATCTTTAGCTCCTTTCGATGGAAAGGGTGATTTTTCTATTTGGCAACAAAAAATGAAAGGTATTTTGATCCATCAAAAATGTTTTAAAGCGATTTCTCTAAGTGAGGAAGTTTTTATAACTGTTGCTAAACGTGAAGAACTTGATGATCTTGCTTATTCTGCTATTATCTTGAATCTAAGTGACTCTGTGATTAGAAAAGTAGGAAAGCATGATTCTGCTAGAAGCTTATGGGATAAATTGGAAGAACTTTATGTTGAAAATTCTTTGCCCAATAAAATGTTTTTGCTTGAAAAGTTTTTTGGATTTAAATTGGACTCTCGCAAAAATATTGATGCTAATATGGATGTTTTTACCAAGTTAGTTCAAGATATTAAATTAACTGGTGATAAGAACATTGATGAATATACCCCTATTGTGCTCTTGAATGCTATTCCTGATATTTATAATGATGTTAAGTCTGCTATTAAGTATGGTAGAGATAAGATTACTTTAGATACTGTGATCAATGCTTTAAAAAGCAAAGAGCTTGAATTGGGAATTAATAGGGATAAATCATTTAGTGAGGTTAATTTTATTAAAGGAAGTCAGTCTAATCGCTTTCAAAACAACAAGGCTTCTTCTAGTCAAATTGATCAAACTAAGAAAAAGGGTGGATATTGGAGTAAGTCAAAGGCTAATCCTAATAATAGAAGGTGCTTTAATTGCGGTGACCATAGTCATTTTATTAGTGATTGTCCCAAGCCTAAGAAAAACCAACATAGAGATCAAGCCAATATGATATCCGACGGTGGTGATGTATTCTAATGTGTTAGAATATTTGCATTACTTTGTGTTTTGCTTGTTATTTTCATTACTTTGTGTTTTGCTTGTTATTTGCATTACTTCGTGTTTTGCTTGTTTTTGCATTACTTTGTGTTTTGTTTTTTAAACTTGTACTAACTTTGTGTTTTGAGTGCAGGTAGTGTCATACGGCAATGATGACTTCGTTTCTCCTAAAAGGGTCCCGATGATCCATTTGGGCCAGGAGGAGATTTGTAGAGTATGTGGCCCAAATGAATTCTTTGTGAATGGCCCATTAAAATCCCACCTTGCAACCCACTTACGAGCAGCCCACAAAATTTGAGCCCAAAATTAAAAGTCAGCCCAATCTCACTAGGTTTTCCCTTTCTCTCTCTCTCTTCACCTCTTTTTTCTTATATCGGTGTTTTGTTTTTCCCAGCAGATTTGTTTTCTAATCTGCTCCTTTTTTCTCTCAACAAATCTTGGTGATTTGTTACCTAATTCTTAGTGAATTTGGTAGATGATTTGGGTGTATAAGTGCACCCTTTTCTTTTCCTGTGTGAGACGTGAGAGACGGAAAAAAGGCGTGAAAAATAGAGACAGAAAAATAGAGTCGAGAAAAATACTTTGTGTATTTGAGAGGGAAAAAATAGAGTGAAAAGAGAGAAACCTTTTTTGAGAAGCAAAGCTCGATTCTTTCAATGAATTCGAGCTTACTTCTTTAGGGATAAACTGGTGAGATTAGGGTGTGAATTTGGGTTTCGTTTTTCTTCGTTTTGTTCGTTGGAATACACTGTGTGTGTACGTGTGTGTGGCTACCGTGAGTGTTGGAGGCCCCACTTGGATCTTGGACGAGGACTCGGAGAATGAGGACTGAGCCGGATAATCGACGACCGCCGGAGCAGCCGTCGGAGGAACTTTCGTTTGCAATTCTGTGTGAATTGCTCGGTTTTGTCTCTTACCCTTATTTATTTTTCTGCATTAATTAAATCACGTTTTATTCTAGGTTAATTGAGCATTAATATTTTATTCTTAAAATATTGTGCAAGATGATTGCTTCTCTGTCTGTTTTCTATTAACTTACAGTTGTTTACGCCTACTGTCGTATTTAATATTCTATATTATTAGGATTAATATTATAATATTAACTTCTTGCATTTGGTATTGAATATTCTATGTTACTTGACGTCAATTGCTTTGGATTAAATGTTATGACTTTATATAAATTGATTATGTCTATGGCTATGTGCATTGTGTCTTCTCCGGGCGGATACCCAACAAATCCACAATAGAAGATCGCAGGTCGTAGGAGCTATTCGATGTACCTAATCGGGATCCACATCTCTGAAATCGAAGAAGGAATTTAGAATCGAATCTAGGTCCCTTGTAAGTCTTAAATAAATTATAATGCATGCTAGAAAATTTTAAAAAACAAATAAATCTCATTCGAATTTATCACTAGCTCATTGGATTCATATCCCAATGGATTGATACTTGTGTTTCGTTTGGCAGCGATGCTCGTACGATGTCCGACTGCGTGGAACATTGCAGGGCTAATACCAAATGTTTTCTCCGCCATCCACTTCTACATTTGTTTCCACATCTGTTAGTAATGATGTCCTTGATTATGCAATTATGTTATTAAAATTTTCCAAGGGTGCAAAGTGGTTAAATAAAACATTTCAAGGGTGTAAAATGTAAATAGTCTAAAAAGATATATTTCAAGAATCAAGTGCGCAAAGTGAAAGTTAAGTCATCCTTTATTATGAACAACATGACAACCAAAATTTGAAATTCTCCCAATACAATTTTGTAGCCAAAACAAAAAAAAACAAAAAAAAAAAAAAAAAAAAAACAAAAAAAAGGAAAAGTCACTCTTCAACATTTTCAAAGTTTGACGTTGAAAAGTCGCAGCTAAGTCAACATTTTGATTTGATTACCTACCTACCCCTTCAATTTAATTGATGTACTCAATACTAAGGAAAGGGGAAGCCAAAACAAATTGATTTAGTGATTTTTTTTTTTGGTTTTAAACATCATAACTTAAGTAGTCATGAAAGTGTTTGATATTTCGTTTTCATGTGCATAAACCAAATCGAAATCGTAAAAAAAAAAAAATCAAAAAACTTCAACCGATAATTAATTTAATAACCATAATTGAAGTAAATGAATTTTAAAATTTTATTTCAAATATCAGATGAGTAGTTTATACCTCAACTTTTATGTTTAAAATTGAAGTTGCTCATAGTACATGCATGTGAATTTTTTATTCTATATTAGGTGAACTTCATTTGCATAAATTCACCATACTCGTATATCAATAACTACGTTATCTTTCATGAAAAAAATAAGTAAAAGATAACTAAATTATCGATTTATCTTTGATTTTGTGTTGATTTACAGTGTAAAATGAATTTACTATTACGAAACGTATACATATATCAGGTATTCGCTTATTTTCTAGTAAAGACAATTTTTACTGTAGCAGTCAAATCATTTTAGTACGAGAATTTTACACTTTAGAAGTTGATTTGAGATTTTTTTTTCTATGAAAAAATTAAACAAACACGAATTCGTTTCCGGTAGAGAACTAAATTGAAACCAAAACCGAACCAAACATTGCCATAACATTTATAGGGTTTCTTTCGACCATACACTCGATGATAAACTCCGGGTGGATTTTCTACTGACACGTGTTATATTTAATTATTTATTACACCCGGACTTAAATTAATCTATAGGAATTTAAAAAAAAAAAAGACACGTGTCATCTGAGGACCCATCCTGAGTTTATCAGTGAGTGTATGGTCGAAGGAATCCAGTTATAAGGACCATTTTGTTTTTCTATTTTAAATTTTATTAATTATGAAAAGGTTAGGCACGGCACGCTACACCACCGGTAAATCAAAGCCATAAGTTGATGAGCACGCAGAACTGACCGTCTTACCAAAAATGATTACGTCATCCCGACCCTGTACTTACAGCCAAAATAACGGCCCCCTACCCCCTACCCCCCACCCCCACCCCCCACCCCCCATCTCTGCTATTTATCGTCATTTTTGTCATCAACCTTCGAAAAGTGTGCCCACGTTAATTATATTATTATATGAAATATATTATCCTTCTTCACATATATATATATTTGTTGATTCGATATATATATTAATTTGATCTACAGCTCAATTACTTTTTATCGGAAGTGTTACTATAAATTGATCTCGAGGCAATAATTCCCACTACTTACATCTATCCACTTCATTTTCATAGTTTTGAAGCGACAAGAGAAGCGATTTGAATGGAATCAAGGGCTGAGCGGCGGCTGAGATCGATTCGCGGCCATCTGATTTCCGACGCTGATGATTCGTCGTCGCCGATTTCCGCCAATCCCACCGCCGGTGAATTTGTTCACGGTATTATTACTATTTTTTTTTTGTGTGTCTGTTGTGCTGTGTGGTAGAGATTAGTTGATTTTTTTTTGGATTGGACTCTTCGTGTTTACGTCTTGAATTCATGGTTGTTCAATGAAGTGCAGAATTTTTTGACATTTGTTATGGGTTTGATTAATTGATGATTGGTGATTGATTCCAATTCTCGACAATAGGGACCACGCCTAACTCTCTAACTGGTCATTTAATGTTGAATTCATTTATGGTTTTACTTCAAATTTTCTTTTGTCGTGGAAGTTTTTCATAAAGGTAAGGTGTTAGGCAGAAAATAACTAGTTTTCGATATTTTCTCGAATAAATGGATGGTAGGCTAGTAGATTTTTTGGTCTTCCCTCTTTTAGAGGGTTTGTCGTGATTACCTGAATCTGTGTACTGGGTATGGAGATGCTGCTCAATTTGGGGGTGTTAGTCACATGAATTTAAGTATAAACATATTCAAATTGCTATATTGTTTTTTTGAATTTCTTCGTATGCAATGTCATGCATATAATATAAGGTGGGAATCCGACTACCCTGTGTTTTTGGTTGTCTCCTAAAAAGGCATATTAGGTATCTAGGACTGCTTACTCAATGTTTGTTGTGAGTCCTTTGCATTGATCTGGCAATGAACATCCAAATAGGCATGCAGCCTTTGAAGGTGGGGTGAGTTTTTAGTTGTTCTATGGTTCTTGGAGTCACGGTAGAGGAGAATATTCTTCTTGTATGGGAACTTTTTGAAGCCGCTAATTGTCCATGAAAAACTTCTTTTGAATTAGTTGATAGTGCACAAAAACAAAAGTTAGTTAATGGCGTTCATCATCCATTTCTGCACCTGACGTTTAAGGAAATATTTTATAAGTTAGGAAATTGCCATTGACGAACAATCCTGGTAATGTTTACTCACATGAAAAAAGAAAAGGGATTTCTTTTGGCGCACATGAGGTTGTTAGATTAATATATGGACAGAAGTTAACTGCAAAAGCAGGCGTCCATCCACTCAATTTCTGGCGTAGGAAACTAGGCAGACCTGATTATATCATCATACTAATCCGTTGCTGGTTGATGTACCAGTGGTCTGAAACACGTATACCCTGCACCAGTTAGATAATTCCAGCTCTAAATGAATTGAACTGGTATGTAGGACTATTTTTTAACTTTGGTGAGAAGTTTATGGGTTAACAATTATGTTTCTCTGGTCCAACATCAAATAGCTAATTCGCTAAGCTGAATTAAACAGGACAGATGGAATTGGTACTGCTACAGAGCTACAGATACATGAAGTGTAAATTTGTTTATGGTCAAAATACATTACTGATTGTCCTCCATTGACAGGCTGAACTTAGTTAGCTATTCCATTCCATTTTTATCTCGTTTTTTATGAGCACAACAAGAATACATGCAGGCCCGTAGGTAGATGGTATGAGTTAAGTGGAGTTTGAGGCCCAAAAGCTTAGGTTATATTTCTCTCATGGTGATGATTCTGCCGCAGATGACACAATCTTCCTAGTTTGTGTTAAGCATTAATTGGAGATTCTGTTTTTCGTGTTTTCCATACCTTTTCCCTTAGCTTATTGTCACAAGGGTCTGTATAGGGGTTGGCATGTTTTTTCTTATTCTTTAGGCTCTGGACCAAGTATATGAGCCTGATTTATGATAAATGCTTGATTTATGACAAATCATAATTTTGTGCATATTTTCTTTTTATGAAAAGGATTAGAAAGAATCACATCCATACAAACTTCAGTGTTACGGAAAAATATGCAAAAGAAACATCTTTAGCAATCTGTTCCCTGATTTTCTTTTTCCTTGTCTTTCTGTTGTCCTCTATTGTGATTCTACTACTTTTCTGTTCCTAGGTTAATATTTTCTGGCTGTAGTTAAATGAAATCTTCACAAGAAAATCAAATAGCATTTCCTTTGGTGGTTTCATGAAGAATCGTGTATTTGCATTGAATCTCGTCCTGACTTTATTAATCCATAAATCATGTTTGTTGTACTGTCGAACCGGATGAAATGGTTTCCCATTCTAGTAAATAATACAAATCGGGTTTGACCAATGCTGAGATAGTTTAGTCAAAGGTTTTGAAAACTCTTCTTTCATATCAGCCAAGCCGAGTATGCAGTCCATCTTATGGACAATATGGGGTTCAATTATTGTAACATATATCAGCTGCATTCTTTATAATAACCTTTGCTGTTCAGAAATTTCTTGGTGCTCATACATGCATATATTCACCAACTTTTGTATCATCAAGAATTTGCTCCAATTCTGAATCAAAAAAAATAAATAAATAGAAGAAAAAAATAATATGCCGCAATAACACTTCGTTCTTATTGCTAAATCCTGACAGACATACTTGAGCACAAATAGTCCTTTTATTGACCATTCTAGGTGGCTAGGGAATACTACTAAAGCATATATGATGCAGTGGCAGACCTAGAAATCAATGACAAGAGAGGGGTGGGGTAATAGTTTTCCTGACAATAGTAAATAGAGAGAGATTTTACCTTTCTAGGTGAAAACTTAAATCAATATTTTAGAATTTTAATACAAAATGTATAGTATTGAAAATAACAAGGAATTAGTGGGGCAGAATCACTGGCTTCTACATAACTTAATTTGTTAAATCCATCTTTTCTATCTCAACTGAGCATCTGTATATTATATTTATATGACTTTTATGAAACACGTGACTGAAGGGATGACAACTGAGGCGATGTCTGGTCTAGCGAACACCTGCAAGCTTTGTTGAATCATTTCTATGTACACAACTTTTGCATGTGGCAATGAACGTGGATGAAATGTTTAGTTTTTTGTAATACTTTTATTGTTTTTGTAGGATTAGATGGGAAACTCCTAGTTAACGCTCATTCTTTTGTTTCTGATTCTTTCTTCGTCGTAACACTTTGAGTTTTTCTGAGAGCTGGTACCGCATTCCTAGCTACCTTTTTCCTTTTGATATGTTTTTTGTTGTGTGGATTCTTTCCACTGTGTTACTAGTTTTAGGTAGAGACAGTAACAAAATTCTTATATCGAGCAGGCCAGCAATATAGTGCAGTTCTTCCTGAGAAATTGCACACTGGGAAATGGAATGTGTACAGGTGGAAAAGTTACCCTTCTAGACATATTTCTATGTTAATTGCCATGAAGATCCGTATTTGACATATTTATAATGTTTATCTCATGACAGATCCGCACGTTCTCCTTTGAAACTCATTACCAGATTCGCTGATTATCCAGAGATTGGCACATTGCATGATAACTTTGTGTGAGAATTTTTACCTTTTTTACTGTGATATTCGGATGCACATGTTTCACTTGATACTAGTATCTTATAAATCCTCTTCCTTGAAGTTCCAAAAGAAAAAAAAGAAGGCTAATACCTTTTCGATTTTATGATGAAATCCTCCTAAATATCTACTTGTGTTTAACTAGCTGGCAATATATCTTTCTGTTATAATGTAATTGGTGATTTCAGACATTCAGTTGAAACTTTCCAAGACTACAAATATCTGGGCACACGTATACGGGTAGATGGCACAGTTGGAGAGTAAGTATATTGGTAAAAAGATACTTTTTTAGGAGAGATAAGTAACCCTTCAATTTTCTTTTTGCTTACCGTTTCTTTTTCGCGATGCATAGGTACAAATGGATGACCTATGGAGAGGCAGGTACTGCTCGATCAGCAATAGGTTCTGGACTTCGCCATCATGGATTACAATCAGTAAGCTGCATTTACTTTTTCTTCTCCTGTCTCTCTCGCTCAGGTTGCATTCATTAACAATTTGTTACATTAAAGCACCTTACCATAAGAGATATGGAAGGCGGTAGTTTCTGGACCTGTTATTTAACCTAACAAAAAGATATCTACAGCCAGTTCCTTTTAATGAATATTCGATTTTATTTTTTCAAATTATTTAATCATTTTCTTGTATGAAATGTTTGCATGAATATCAAGTTATTATACAGTAACATGTATTTTTTTTCTGGAACAGGGAGCTCGTGTTGGACTTTATTTTATCAATAGACCAGAATGGCTGATCGTGGATCATGCTTGCTCAGCATATTCGTACATATCAGTTCCTTTATACGATACCCTTGGTGTGTAAGTCTGCATTCAGTTAAGGGTTCTTTGTCTTTTCAACTCCATTAACTTTTACGTTTTCTGGTTCACTGGCAGGTCCTGATGCTGTTAAGTATATTGTAAATCATGGTGAGATAGAGGCCATCTTTTGTGTGCCAAGTACCTTGAACACAGTAAGTCTTTTCAGTATTTCCTTTTTGTTTATGGTTTCTCAAATAAGCTCCTCCTTATTTAAAAGGTGGATCCTGATATTTATTCATTTTCGTCTAAATCTTGCAGCTGCTGACCTTTCTGTCAGAGATTCCTTCAGTACGTGTAATAGTGGTATGTCCATGTACCTTCTTGTCTAGCCATTTGGTCTATCTTGTAAAATGTGATTCGGCTCTGCTGTTTTGTTGACTCGTATTTTCCCTGCTTCATGAATAACATAGGTAGTGGGAGGGGTAGATGAACATCTGCCATCTCTACCTTCTGCTTCGGGAGTTCAGCTTTTATCATACACAAAGTTACTTAGTCAGGTACTTGTAAAATCTTTCAACCAATGTGAGACTTTTTCTTACAGATGTTGTGTGTTAGCATTTCTATTTTAATGCGATACATAAACCTTTTCGGTATGTATTACAGGTAATTGTCGAATTCTTGATTTGTATAAACAGCTTGGCAGTGTGACACTTTCCACAGTTGGCATTGCTTCCTTTTTACTTGATAGTTAAAGAGGAAGCACTGACAGTGCTGTTCTTGAAGTAGTTAAAAAACTCATAACAATAACATCTGCCATCAGTGGCGAATCCAGGATTTTAGTCAAGGGTGTTCAAAATTTAACACAACAAAAAACATAATAACAAATCGAAAAAAAAGAAAAGAAAAAGGTTTACCCCTTCCATATTTAAAATATAAAATATGAAATGGGTAATTTAGTGCATGAAATGGGTAATTAGTGCATGAACTTATCTAGGAAATATTCCGTATTCCTCAGCAACTAGCTACATGTAATGGTTCAGTTTTTCTTGAATGGGATGGTATGTCAATGAAATGGTCGCTAACACGAATTACTGCATGAAAGAACAACTTGTTATACTTCTTTCATTGGCTCGTTTTCGGATAATTTGCTTTACAGCTCCTACCGGATACTTCAATGGGTTTCCGTATTAGTGATATTTGTGTTTCTCTGAATGATTTTTTTTCATATTTGTACCCTTACTTTGAGAATGGATTACTAATATACATTATTAGTTCTAATATGTGATTGTCCATAGCAACGCTGGTTTGTTCTTCCCGTAGTCTGGATTTTTCTGTAACCTCACAAATTATAGCCAACATATGAAGATCGAATGTTTCAATATTATATTTTATTTTTTATTTCAGGGTCGCAGTAACATGCTTCCATTTGTCCCTCCCAAACCTGAAGATGTAGCCACTATATGCTATACCAGTGGTACTACCGGCACACCAAAGGTAGCATTTTGATTGAAGTCTTTAGATGATACAGTTGACACGCAATTTAAAATGTTTGGTAACTACGTGTAATGTTGCCTTTTCTTTTATCCTTCTATCAATAGGGTGTTGTATTAACACATGGAAACTTGATTGCAAGTGTTGCTGGCATGACCCTTCAAGTCAAATTTCATTCCTCAGATGTGTGAGTTTTTTTCTTGGAACATGATGAGTTATTTTGTTCCGTCCCAATTTATAAACAATTTTTTTCTTGTTTGAGCAGCTACATTTCCTATCTTCCCCTGGCACACATCTATGAACGAGCGAATCAAATTACATCAGCGTTTTACGGCGTTGCTATTGGTTTCTACCAGGGGGTATGCGATTTCTCCATTGCAATTTATGTTTGTTTCTGCTGTTCCCACCAATAATTCTGAGAAAAGAGGAACTACATTTTAATAAATATACTCGTTTGAAAGATGAAATTATCACTTGTACCCCAACAACCACATCACACTCCCACTCTACAGTAGGATGTACCTGAGTGTCTTTGTTAATGTATGTGATTTGTTGGTCTGAGATGGAATGGGTAATTAAGAGGGTCAATACCAAGAAAAAAATATGAAGAATAATGTGACCAAGCTATTCTTGCCTTGTGTGCGAAGACATTTGTAACCTTCTTTCTCACATATACTTGCTGTAGAACAAAGGTTATGCATACGACTGGTGAACTCCAGCTGCTGAGTGAATCCATGAAAATTTGTTTTCCTAGCTATTAGGGGTCCAGTAATCAATATTCATAGAGGAAATTAGATTCAAGTTAAGGTGTAAGCAAATAATATGAAGAACTGAATAAGAATCGAAGTGATATTGGTGGCTGTTAATATAAATGATTTATTGTTTTTTCCATGAGATTAATAATTTTATGCATGGTGAAAAGCATGACGTTTGCTCTTCTTAGTTCCTTCTATTATTCAAGAGCCTTACATATGAAGTGGTGTTACTAATACTGCAGGATAACCTGAAGCTGATGGACGACTTAGCTGCTCTAAGACCCACAATATTTTCTAGTGTTCCCCGTCTATACAACAGAATATACGCTGGGTATGACTATAAGTTTCTACCAAATTACTGTTTAAAACTCTTCAGTGAGGTCCTCAGATATTAATACTTCATTTTTTTCTGTATTCTTGCAGGATAATTAATGCCGTAAAAACTTCTGGTGTTTTGAAGGAGAGGTTATTTAATGCAGCATACAATTCCAAGAAGCAAGCTGTGATGACTGGTATGACTGACAAAATTTTGAAGCTGTACACTTCCATTTTGCTTTCTGTGTCACATCTAAATTTAATGAGGATTGAAACTTGTTGGGTTTTATTTTTCCTTTCTGTGACATATCGAATAATTGGACAAGATACTGTCGTACCTATTCTGTAGCTAAAGAACAATACACTCAGACATAAAAGCATGGGTTTTGTTTTGCCATCAATACTTCTACTTTCCTACCGCCTAATTCTAGTACTTGAGAAGAGTTAAATATTCCGGCTACAGAAAAGGTCTGTGATGATAAACTCAAATGTTTGGGATCTTACTGTTAATGATCCTCTTTGATGTGCTCATCGTGAACAGTGATTTGATATCTGATCAAGAAAGAAAAATGTTGATTGATCTCTCTGCCTTAGAGACGTAAAAACAATTGAACAGTTCTATGAGTGTGATTATGGTGGACCTTGTTATCAAATATGATTGAACAATTGGGAGTTGTTCCATTAGTACCTTCAGTGACTACCCTCTTTGCTTTGATGATCTACTGTGTACAATTCAAGCTCTTATTTTTGCAACTTAAGCTGTTGTCATGTTTTTTCCTGTGTGGTAGGTCGAAAACCATCACCAATGTGGGATAGGTTGGTATTCAATAAAATAAAGGACAAACTTGGAGGCCGAGTTCGGTACCTGACTTCAGGTGCTTCACCATTGTCTCCGGATGTGATGGAGTTTTTGAGGGTGTAAGTAAATTTATATATTTACAAATTCAATTAGTCAGTATCATTAGGAAAACCATTAGTTCACTCTTACCATCTTGCAGGTGTTTTGGCTGTCAAGTAATTGAAGGTTATGGTATGACAGAGACTTCTTGTGTCATCAGCTCTATGGAGGAGGGTGATTTCTTAACTGGTCATGTTGGTTCTCCCAATCCTGCATGTGGTAAGTTGTTAAAAATTTATTTCTATATTTATCAGCAAAAATAGAACTGTTGAGATAATAAAATATAGAGTATGCATAATGGTTTTTGCTATGTAGAATCTGACGCTCGTGTCACATTGATTTTTGGTCCCTCTAGAAATAAAGCTTGTGGATGTTCCTGAGATGAATTATACTTCTGAGGATCAACCTCATCCCCGTGGGGAGATCTGTGTCAGAGGGCCCATTGTCTTTCAAGGCTACTACAAAGATGAAGTCCAGACGTACGTACCTATGCCATAATTTTTCATTCTCAGAATTAATTTTGCATACTAAACGCTGCTTGATCTTCGATTAATACAGGAGAGAAGTTTTAGATGATGAAGGTTGGCTGCACACTGGAGATATTGGAATATGGATACCTGGAGGCCGCCTGAAAATTATTGATAGGTACCTTATTATCTCTTGAACTCGTTCTCCTAACCCCCATCATATGAGAAAAAAAGAAAAAGGGAAACGAAAACCAAGTTCTTTTTGTCAGCTTTACGTATTCTTCTGTTTTCATATTTACTTGAAAGATTCTTAAAGATTTTGTTTGGGATATCTTCAAAATTAAACTTCCTTTACTATTATTTAATTTACTTTTAGTGGCAAGTATTTTGTGGAGAGATTCAAATAGTTCTCTTTCATTATCATCAGGAAGAAGAACATTTTTAAGTTGGCGCAGGGCGAGTACATAGCACCAGAGAAAATTGAGAATGTGTACGCGAAGTGTAAATTTGTTGCGCAGTGCTTTGTGTACGGTAAGAAGATTACTTTTGTTTCCTCCGTCATTCTCTCTCACCTATATTTGTGCTAACGAGGGTTATGCTTATAGGTGATAGCTTGAACTCCAGTTTAGTTGCTGTTGTATGCGTGGAGCCAGATGTATTGAAGGATTGGGCCACATCCGAGGGTATCAAGGTAATTAGGCCTCTTCCACTTATTCGTTTCTTCAGTTTTGTTGTTCCCGATGTTCTTATGAAACTGTTGCCTTGCATTTGATTCATTACCTTTTTCTTGCGTGGGTTCTGTTATGTCAAGAGAAATTCATTATGTCAGTTTCGTTAGTTGGGATAGTGTGGCTCATACGTTACTTTAGATTCAAGAAAATATCCATGGCCCGTAAAATAGTTCTTTAGAAATCCATATTTAGTTCGACTTTACTTGCTTTTCATTTTTCACTATCCAAAGTGAGTGTTTGTCAACCTCTACTTATTTGATAGCTACATCGAGTCATCACATGTAAATCTTTGCACCTTATTTTGAAAATTTTAAATAAATTTCTGTTATGAAACCCTCTCAAGCATGTTATTCTTGATGCAGTATGAAGATCTGGAACAACTTTGTGCTGATCCAAGAGCAAAGGCTGCTGTACTTGCTGAGATGGATGCCGTTGGAAAGGAAGCTCAGGTACCTTCTTCAAAATCATATATCCATTTTCTCGTTTCAAATTTCAGACCTTTACTACAACATATTCATTCAAAATTAACCTTCGATTCGTTTATGTTTGTTCAGTTGAGAGGTTTCGAATTTGCAAAAGCTGTAACCTTGGTGGTTGAGCCATTCACTCTGGAGAACGGCTTGTTAACTCCAACATTTAAGGTAATATACATACATACATACATATATATACATACATACATACATACTATATATATATATATATATATATATATATATATATATATATATTCATCTCAATGTTCTAATAAGATATTATAATACTGTAGAACCTCGATAAATTAATAACATCGATTAAATAATAGTTTCTCTCGGTCCCGACTCGGTGAATACGTGTTAAAATATTAACTCGATAATTTAATAATTCGCTAAATTAATAGAATTTTCCTAGTCCCGAATGTATTAATTTATAGAGGTTTAGCTGTAGTGTAGTTTGATGAAAACATGTTTAAACACAATTTGTTATTATTGTGGATTCTCAGGTGAAGAGGCCTCAAGCAAAGGCTTATTTCGCCCAAGCAATATCTCGTATGTACGCAGAGCTTTCCACGTCTGATCCAACACCACAGAGCATGTTGTAACCAAACATTATGGTAATAAAAAAACTTGCACAGTTGGTGCATCCTAATTTTGAATAAATGCGACAGCCAATTGTTCTTTTTCATGACGATGTTCTTTGAAAGAATTTATGGTCCCGAATTTGTATTATACAGAGATGTTATCTAAAATGTTATGACACTTGAGACAACATGCAGCGGAAATATAACTATTAAAAGACAATGCTCAGAATTAAAAATGTTCACAAGTAAAGACTTGTGAACTTGCCCTTTACAGGACGGAAAAATATATTAAAATCAGTATTCCAAGAATACAAACAGAAGAGTGCGAAAACTTCTTCCTTATGAATGAATCTTTTTCAAGATCACTCTTACAATCAAATCTAGATACTAAAAGAAAAATATTAAAAATTCTAGATTTCAAAGAATGTACTCATAAAGAGTACGTACAACAGATCCTAGAAAACACACTAAAATTCTCGAGATTAAAACTTCAGCTCTATTTTTGTTTCCTCGAAATCTGCTTCAATCTTGAGTCTTGAGTTGGGTATTTATAGACTTGCCAAGCTTCCACTTCTCAGCCCATGATCTGCAAGAGAACCAACCACAAGAGCACTCAAGATAATGGGTTAGTGGGTTAGTTTGGAAGTTAAGATAAATTCCATAATTAAATCCACTAAGCATTACTTAACCCCACTTAGCCCACTAACTAAGATTTAGTTTAAAGTTAAGAAAAGTTAAAAACACATTGTGAAATTAATTCACGTGTTTCAAACTCCCCCTTTTTAACTTTCTGATCAAAACTAAATCGTAGTCAAAGACTCCCCCTGAGATATTGCTTGAACTCCCCCTGAATTTGATACCATTTGAAAAACATAGAAACAATAAATTAAAACCAAATTCAGCAAGATAGTCCAACAAAATAAATAAACAAAGTGCAGTCCTAAACAAAAGTTCAGAGGGAAAATAAACACAACATAAACAAAAATATTGTTCATGAAAACAATCTAAAGTAAAATATCTAAAGTCTCCAAGGTCTCCTCAGTTTCAGCTGCTGCTCCTCCTCCATCACTAGATCCACTGCTTTCTTCTTGAGCTTCCCCCTCTTTCTTTGCTTCCTCTTCATTGACTCCTTGCTCTCTGCCTCTAGCATCCAAAGGATGAGATGTTCCTGCTTCAGTTTCATGACCTTTTTCTCCCCCTTTTTGATCAGAAAGGGCCTTCTGAATCATCTCCACCATGGACTGATGATAGGTAATCTGAGCTAGAGAATGAGTAAGTTGCTGCAATAGAAGATCTCTAGGAACAGACACAAGAAGGTTAGAAGTGTTGTCAACATGAGGTGCAACACCCTCAGTACCAATGTTATTTTGACCTGATTCAGTTGAGAGAAAATCATCTCCATTCCAAGGAAGATCTTGAACATGAGGAGCCCTCAGAAAATTTTGAGACACAGTGATCATGCCTTGTGGGGTGTGAAGATATTCTGAGTCATCTTGGCCCAAATTTTGAGAGAGTAAAATGGAGTAGATGAGAGAAGGGTAGGGAAGGTGAGTGGAGGTTGAAATCTTCTGGGCAAGATGACCAATAGTATCAAAGAACAGTTTGCCAAAATCCACTGGTAAACCCATCCCCAATTTGTACATGAGTACAGCATGAGGCTTAGTTACCACAGAGACATTTTTGGATGGAATCCAATTAGTCACTGTGAGTCTAAACAGGACAGAGTAAAAGGCAGTGAGTTGAGACACTTGGAATTTTCTTGGGTGTGCAGGCCAATTTTTTAAACGATTTCCAGAAATAACTTTGCAAATTTCAGTAAAATCACCATAATTATCCTCATCAATCACAGTAGGAGTTTGTAAATGAGAGTTGATAATTTTGGGAGAAAGAGAAAAGATGGAATTTCGCACAAAAACTTTGCCAAAGTTTGGAGAATTTTTCTTTAAAAAAGAAGTTTGCAAATTGGCATAAAATTCCTTCACAACCATGGGATCATAAGAGCAGGCAGTCTCAACTAGGTTAAGGATTTTTCTTTGGTGAAGAAAAGCAGTTATCCTATACCTATCAAATTCTTCCTTAGAAATTTTCTTTTCCTCAATGAATTGACAATTCATGACTTGAGGACTCAACAGTGAATCAGATTCAAAATAAAAATTTGGACTGAAGGCATTGGTTACCTCAAAAGGGATTGACAAATTCTTCCCATCCAGGTCTGGTTCTTCTTCTTCTGAGGAATCATCATCTTCTGAATCTTCAAGCTCATCAGGGACATATGCTGGTTCAGGTGATGCAGCAGGTGGGGCAACACCTTCTTCTTGCTGAGAAGAGTCTTCAGAAGATTCACTGTCAGAATCAGAGGAAGGTAAATTCTTACGAAAAGCAGCTAGAGGAACCTCCCAGCTGTCATCACGTTTCTCTGGTTGTTCTTCAGTCTGAGGAGGAATTGCATCTGCTTGAGCTGCTGCTTCTGCCAGGGTTTCCAGAGGATCTCCCTGAGGTGCTGATGGAGTTTCTTCTGTAGTGGTGAACTCCTAAGCATCAACAGTGGGAATGTCAACATGCTCTGCTGATGACATTCCAGAGAAATCAGGCATTTCTTCATCCTGATAAGGGCCAGCATCCTCAGCAGCATTCTGAGGAGCATTTTCTAAAACATTTGGTGCAGCAGCATCTTCTGTAGCATGTGCAGCAACACCTTCAGAAACAGGTGCAGCAGCATCTTCTGGAGCAGAATGTTGAGAGGCTGCTGTTGCCATGCTGGGCTCCCCCTGAGTTGATGTTGGGGAAGGTGATTTGTTGGATGATGACTCGGAGGTGCTGGAGGACAAGGCTTGAGCCTGTGGTGCAGCAAAGGTGGGATCCCCTGCTTCATCATCAGTTTCTTCATCTACCAGATGAAGACCTCTTCGTGGATTTGACTGAACTGGAGTGCGGCCACCTCTGCCTCCTCTTCTTCCACCTCTGCTTCCTCTTCGGGGAGAGTTTTCTCCTCTCCGACGTTGTGGCACCGCAGTGTTCAGATCTGGGAAGGGGTTCGTGCGCTTGGACCGGCGTGTTGGAAACCTTCCGGCGGTGGAAGACGGACCCACAAAATCAAAATTGTCTGGGTCAATCGGGTTCAGCTCATCTCCGGGCTCAATGTAGCTGATTGGAACAGCTTCAAAGTTGATTGGATGAACGATGATGGCCAGATTTGGGTCTGCTGGTACAGGTGAACATCACCATCGACGGCGGGAGGAGGATTTCTAGGTGGGGATGCCATGATACAGTAGATGAAGGAAAATAGCTTCTTTGTGCTTTTGATTTTTGATTTTTGAGTGTGAGTTTTTGAGAAAAGAAGCACTAAATTTATAAGCCCTAATTTTTGCTGAAGGAAGAAAGAAAAAAATTGAAGTGGAGAAGGTGAAGAAGTGGTGTCCGTTTTTCTTGGGGAGAGTGAGATTAAGGAGAATAAAATTTCCTTGGCAGTTTAAATAAAAACCGTGACACATGGCACAATGAGGAGTGGACTTAGTGGAAAAATAAGGGATTAACCATGTACCCATGACCCATATAAATAGGGATAATTCATAAATAAAAATAACACCGTAGCACTCA